CTGAAACCCGAGCCAATACCAGAGGACAGTCAGAGCATCCTGTCCTCACTGGTCCCCTCTGGTCTCTTTTTGTTCGCCCTTCTTTTATTAACGTCTCATTTATAACTCCTCAGGAACATTTTTTATTGACTCTCAGTTTTGTGATACATCCCCAAAATAGGAGACTACATAAAAAAACAAGGTCACCTCAGTACTTATTCGCAGGTTTTCTCATTATGAGAGAGGAAAAATTAACTGAAAAATAAAATACCAAATAATTTTTTACTCATTTGAGCTATAACAGTGAAAAACTGCGGCATCAATAAATCATTTCATATTAAATGGGTCAGCTGACTATGTGTAATGTGAAGGCCATCACACATAGTGATGAACCAGCAGAGAATAATCACGGTTCCCCTCAGTTATGTAGTGTTTTAGTGTCTTGCAGCTCATTGTTTTGGTTTTCTGAAACACAACTTTATTATTTTGGTTCAGTTTTGTTGCTCTCATCAGCCCCATTTCCAGCTGCAGCAGGCAGCTTTTTTACACAAAATAGTTCTGATAAACAAATTGCAAGGGAGCAAACAGCTAAAGAGCCAAATATTTTTCTCAGGAGTTGGTGGAGACCAAAATTACGGAAGCCAAGGATTGTCGTGCTTTGCCATCATTGTTTTAATTCATTTATTTTTTTTTATCTCAAGTTAATTTATCTCGTTATCTCAAGAAAACAAGATTTGTTATCTCAAGATAATGAGATATCCCGTAATCGCAAGATAACAAAAGGTTGGTTTTCCAGAGATAATGAGATCATTTATCACAAGGAAACGACTTTGGTTTTTTCGAGATCACAGGATAATTATGGAGAACCCGAAAATTATTGTCTGGTTCATTTGATCACACCTGATTAAGGCTGTCGGGAAAATTCATAACTAAAAGAAAGAGTTGACTGAACGGATGAACATCTGAGAGGTAATTTAAGCCATTAATTTCTTGGCAATGTGATGCAATACTGACAAAATATATCAGGAGATGATTGAGATATATGAGCTCCCTGAAGCTCATCCCACTGCAATGTCCAGATTTTAAAGCACTTTTTCCTGGACGCTGGCTCATTTAGGTCAGTGTGAAAATTTAAACTTGCACCTTGCATGTCATTCCTTTATGCACTGTCCATTATGCTGAGGCAATGCTACATTTATAATATGCCATCTATGCATGCTGGCATGGCACTCCTGAACTCTGATTCACATTAGCCTACCGACAAGGCAAAATTGGACATACACTCAGCAATGAATTACAGTCCACATATAGGTCAGGTCTGGTAGCAACATATGGCCCATGATATAGCTGTATATCAGCCAACTATATGACCATAGCTGGCCCTATTCTCGGCCTATGTGTCAACACTCCTTGTCCATGGTTTACAAGTGTAAATTCGAAGGTTTAGTCAAAGCTGTCATCTGGAACCATTACTGAAACCTGTCTGGTCAAACACAGGGCCAAAATAGAGACAGATATGATCATATGGTTGGCGGAGATATGGCTATATCATGGGCCATATGTGGCCACCAGATCTAGCCCATATGTGGACCTTAATTCATTGCTTTATCTGGGCAAAGTGTAAGGGCCAGACCAATTTTGCTATGAGGGAAAGTAATAAGAGGAACCAAGCTTTTGTTATCTCGTGGTTACGGGATATCTCATTATCTTGAGATAACAAATCTTGTTTTCTTGAGATAACAAAATAATTAACTAGAGATAAAGGCATTAAAAAGCATGGCTGTTCATGGCTTTTGTACGAGACAGGGCTAAAAGGAGATTGAATATTTGACTTACATCAGGTGGACAAACAAAACTGGAAATGAATGCTTATGTTGCTGTGGGTCTGCTGATGTGTATATTGGCATTTGTTTGCTAGTTTACTTTAACTTTATTATAATGAAATTAGTTATATTATGTAAATGCTTTGTTTACAGCTCATTCCACTGCCCCAATGTGGCAAAAAAACAACAACAACAAAAGAAAACAAAGTAACTTAAAGGGGAACTTTGGCAGATTTTTACCCTAGTTCGTTGATCACTTAGAGGTCTCGAGTGCATCGTGTCGAAAAAAGAACCGCACCGTAGAATTGTTCCTAAGCGCAAACCTGGAGATCTGCAGGCTATGGCCAGAGCTCCCAGTAGTGCGCCTCTATAATAAACATTCTTGGGGCTGATTCCTAACGAGTAGCCGTTTTGCTTCCTCTTAAAGACCACACAAATGGTTAAATTTAAAAAATTCGTGTGCCGAACATGAAACCAGGGCCCTTTACGTGACAACAAATGGAAACCGTACAAAACAGGTACTGTCGCCTACCCTGTATTTTTTCCACCGCTGCTTCACCGAAAGCCCAGAAATCATTGCCCACGAGGAGATGAATGCCTTCGTGAACGAAAAAAAAGTTTATTTCCCCCCTCAAAAATGTCCATGTCATTTCCACACTACTCTGAGTTGTCTCACTTCCTGCAACAAAACAATCTTTTTTCTTCGGTGGTTTCCTCTCAACAAGGAAATCCCATCGGGACTATCGTGGCAACAGAACGCGGTAGGCGACACGTACTTGTGTTGTTGTACGGTTTTTGCTGCATCAACGTATGAGTGTGAAGAAGGCATGGTATGTGTCAACGTAAGGGGCCCTTGATCATCTTTGCACCAGACATCTTTAATTACCATGTTGTGTCTGTATAAGCAGGAGCAAAAAGGCATCTTTAGGATATGCCCCCAAAGAAGTGTAATTATAACTAACTGGGAAGCTCTGGCCATTAGCTGCAGGAAACTCAGTTTTGCTAAAACCACTTCTGGTCATTCTTTTTCCTATTGTACCAAGTACTCGGTGACCGTCTATGATTCAAGAACATAGGGTAAAAATCTGCCAAAGTTCCTCTTTAATGAAGCTTTAATTTCATTTTTGTATAGAAAATGCCATATTATGGAAATTGTAAATATCATGGTTAAATATCTATAAAGTTTTAAATTTGAACCTGTATATTTAAAGATCTCAATCTTAATGATTGTTCGGAGGTTTTTGGTATTACAATCTGATATTTATCTAATAAGCTGAAAGGCTATAGCACCACAATGTTTTTGTCTGTTTTAGCTCAATTACTAAAGATTTGTTAACTGTAGACTAGAAACCCATGGCTGAGCATTAATTCTAAATCTGTACCTAAACGTCATTATAAAAGAACTATAACGTCACATTCATCACAATTAATGCACACTTGATGTTCATTATCAAACATAAAAAAAAACCTAATTATGGAAATTAATGGAAACTAATGGTTGCTTGGAAAAGTAAGGAAAATACAATCTGAGAAAATAGAAATATACAGCATGCATTCAAAATGATCAGAAATATAATATAAATATATAGTAAGTAAATAAGTATACATGATTTGTAGTTAAAGAGATAAACACACAAGGTATGGGCCTTTAAGCTCAGATGCTGATTCAGAGCTGCGTATGACCGTGCTGCTGAGGCTGTGTGCGTTTGGTCAGACAGTCAGGTGTGTGGCAGGTGTGTTGGCAGATGTCCCAGAGTCCCCAGCCGGTTCCTGTGGGCCCTCTGGAGTCATTTATCTCTAAATGAGTCCCATCTGCTGTGCTTCTGGTGTGGAGGTAGAGGTGAGCAGAGCCAGACACTTTCAAGGAAAGACTCCTGTGTTTATGTAGCACGGCTGTCATCTGCCTGTATGTCTGGATCACTGGAGATCTACTCTATGGACAGTCTGTCACTGCTCAGTCAGTAAGAGTATGATGTCTGTCAAAGTGACTAATTGGGTGGTGTGTGTGTGTGTCTGTTTCTGATTGCTGAGCACACTGCAAAGGCATCATGGAGGATAATCTCACTTTCAGGCAAATATCATACTTAGCATCCTTAATGTCTTGAACTAATTTCTCTCTAAATTACCCCATAATGAGCTGTAAAGTTTTAAAGCAGCAGTTTGACATTTTGGGAAATACACTTATTTCTTGGCATAAGTTAGGTGTAAAGATTGATACTAGGGTTGAGCAAATATTTGGCTGAGGCAAATATCCAGCAGAGATAATGTTTACAAGTACGAGTACCAAACAAGTAAAGTGGTCCATATCCATACTTAAATATAGCAACTTTCAAGAAAATTGTTTCGTAAATAATCTTAGTCTTGTGATCACAAAGAGTGCTCGGAATCCCAATTATGTAAATAGTTTTTGTATAACAACTTTGGGTTACCCCCTCCCATTTCAGGTTTAAGCCCCGCCCATTCAGCATACAGATACGAATACAGACAATTTAGTTGGTTGAAAGGATACAGATACAGATAATAGTGTACTCTTACATCCCCAATCAATACCACGCTCACATATCTGTCCGTTAACATAAATATGGACAAAAGTCAGGAAATAGTTAGCCTAGCTTAGCATAAAAACTTGAAGGAGTGGGAAAGATAGCCTGGCTCTATCATAGTTAAAAACATCTGCCTGATCACGTTTCTAAAGTTCACTAATGTACAAATTAGCTGCCCCCCTTCCAGTCTTCGGTAAACTCACAGTACCCATCTTCTCATCTAACTCTCAGTAAGAAAGTAAAGCAATAGTATTAAAAAGAAGCATTTCCCAATATGTTGAACCATTCCTTTCAAATCAAATTTTCTCTACTTTACTAGCATATTACACACTAGTCAATATCCCATAATGTCATGGTGAATTATGGAGAAATTGGTATAAAATGAAACACAGTATATCTAGAATATTCCAGTTTGATAGAGTAGTGCATCAATGAAAACACTGTAGAAAACTATCTGCCAATTTTATCACTATTTAATGCTGCCTGCGTATAATATCCGCCTTATGAAAATGTAAGACTACTGTGAAGTCAATTTATAGCAGCCTGCAAAAACAAATCAAACATTGCTGATGACGAGGAGACACCATTAGCTGCTCTTCTACTGCTATTTTGCCAGCAATTTGTCTTTACCTCATATTTTTACCTGTACTTCCAGAAGTATGATGCCCAAAGCCCTGGATGGCCAGATTGTCATGGAGAAGACGCCTCGTTACTTTGTTACTGTGGAAACGCCAGCACGAGTCCATGCTATGTCGCAGGACGTGAAGCTGATTGTGGTCGTCCGTGACCCTGTGACCAGAGCCATATCTGACTACACGCAGATCATCTCCAAGACTCCAGACATCCCTCCCTTTGAGAGCCTCGCCTTCAAGAACCGCACCACAGGTACTGACCCTGCTGTTTGAGTTCAAGTGTTGTGAGCACACAGCAGACTCTATATGATACTAGACACACTGTTTTTTTTTATTTTTTATAAATCAGCCTCTTATCTCCTCTTACTCTTGGATTTTTCTTTCCTGTGCACAAGCAAGTTAAAGCAAAAAAATCTGTTTTTTAATCAAGTTCATGCTATTTTATCCTTAATATCTTTACTACTAATTAAAATTTAAATTAACATTTGAAATGAACAACTTTATTTAGCATTTAGATGGATTTTGGTGGAAATGCAAACAAAAATAAAAACTAACCTGCAGCAGGAAAGAAATTCTGCAGCTG